ATTTTTAAATTACTCTACAAAAGCGAAAAATAAGTTTATTTTCCCTTCTATTCAAATCATAACTAAATAATCAGTATTTCTTTAGCCGCAAAAAGCGGATTAAACTTAAAATGGCTAGACCCAAATTTATACAAAATCGCTTTTCAATTTGCAAAATGCTTGCATAAAATTTCGAAGCAACAAATAGTGAGTACAAAACAACTTTTTGCAAGCAAGCCATGCATATTCATACCCATCCCTACTGCAAGATAGAAAAAGTATAAATAAAATAATTTCGAAAAAAAAAAACAGAGAAGCTTTCCCTTTTTCCTTGCCAGAGTTATAGAAAAATATGCAAAATAGGCAGGAAAAGTTGCATATCATATGCACTGCACACACACACTCATACACATAAAAGCAGTTGCGCCGCGCCTCATTTTCATTTTTAGCTGCCGCTTTTCTTCTGTCTGCCTATTTTTAGCCCCCGAGTCGCTATCTTTATGTCTATATAAACCTCCCACTTGGCCACGCCCACTCTCCATCCCTTAGGCGCTTTTACTCGTGAATTTTTATGCAAAAAAATGAGAGGGCAAGTGGGCGGGTGCACAAGGAGACAATACGAAAATTTAATTTACCGCATAGAATTAAAATAGGCAAAAGTCCGGAAAAAATAAGCGAAAATTTTGCGCCTAAAAGGCAGCAACAAAATGAAGGAAAATCCTTTTGTTTTACGTTTTTGCGCCTACCCACGATACACCACTCAACCGCCTTTAAAAACGTCACGCCCCCTCCCTTGGAAAGCCTCCCCCGAGAGATTGTTGTTGCCTTTGCCTCTGCCGTCGGTTTTAATTATGGAAAAAGTTTTTGCTTTATTTAGTTTAAACAATAAGTGGTTGGAAAATATGAATTATACAAAGAGACATCTATGTTTGGATGTGTGTGTGTGTGGGTGTTTGTGTATTCGTCTGTCTATGAGTGTGTGCAAACATTTCTTGAGAAAAGTGCAAATATTTTTTGTTTCATAATTTTCCACCTTCGTCGTTTTTGGTGCCTTTGCATGGCAAGTGAGTCGTGAGTCCCAGTTTTACTTTTTTCATATGCTATTCAACTAGTTTTTGCGTTAAGTAATTTGAAAATGTTTGAGTGGGTATTTAGGGGTATGTTTGAATTTTAAGCCGTTTAAAATCAGATCAGCCAACACTTTGGTTGAATAATAAATTATTTAGTTATTTAAAATAATTACAACATTGCAACATCCTTACCAATTTTCATTTAGTTTATTTTCATGATCTATTTATTTTCTAATTTCTCTATAAATTTGATAAATACTTTGCCTTTAATCCTATTTAAATTTTAATTTCTATCCTTCTTAAAGTATCAGGAGTCCGGAACTCTACTCACTCTCCCATTTTCGCCCACATTATACCCACTCACGTATTTCTATTCGCCCGCAGCAAAATCGAATTTACGCATAAATTTTCAAAAAATGACAATAAAAATGACAAAGGCTCCTTGTCGTAGCCACGAAGCTACACCACCAGCAACAACGACCGCTAATCACAAAGCGTTTATCAGAGGATACCCGCCCCATAGCAACTCCGCCAAACCCCAAAGGCCCCCAACCATCTGCGTGCCTCCTGTCTCTCCACCTGTCAGTTGGTAATAAATTATTATCATTAATATTTTGCGCTTGATTTTGCACCAGGAAGGACTATCGCAGGATAACGGCTGAAAGAACCAAAACGAAACGTTTTTTGCATAAAAATTAAGCGAACACCAATAACAGAGGCGAGCAGTTTTCGGGGTAATAGAATATAGAACAAAAGCGTCAACAAGAATGTTCGAGACACGACCAAATTACTAGCAAGGATAGTCTGTTGTGCACTGAAAATAGCACTTAGGAATTTTCAATTCTTTATATTTACTAAAACGAGTTTTAAATCAAAAAAAGGAAAAAAAAAGTTCTTGACAATTATATTCTTATGTCTGAAAGAAATAGATATAACATTTCCTTAAAATACGAAAAAAAACTTGTTCTATCTTAAAAAAACTTACTTTATTTTTTAGTTTATTGCTAGCTTTTAAGTTCTTTTATTTCTCTATGTGTATTTTTGTGTGTGCGTGAGTCGGAAAAACTTTACAAACACCCTCGAAGTGCACGCGATAATGGCTCCCAATTTGGTAATTAATCACGTCCTCGTTCCTACTCTTGTTCCTTTTTGCCTTTTTCGTTTTTCTCGCCAAAAACAGCCACAGCTGCCCATTAAGGCTGGAGGATGTAGGCCAGCCACCTAGGCTTCACATTTTCCATTAGCTTTCTATATACCTTTATACCTATGATATATATCTGTGTAGAGGAATTTTTCCAGCCGCCCGACGTCGTTGCATTCAACGTTAAAATTAAGCGAATTTGAACGAACGATAAAATAATTACCTTTATGATTATTTTCGGTGGCCGTTGGGGTTGTCGGGGTTTTTCTGAGGTGTGTTTATGTGTGTGTGTGTGTGTGTGTGTGTGGAAGGGGGGGCTTGGTTCAATGTGCCAAACGTGTCTAATTTAGCGGCTTAAATTTATAGCATTTGTGCGCTTAAAATGTTTGGCTATTCCATTTTATGACCCACCGAAGGCAATTGATGGTTGGTGCGGAGTGGTGGTGAATCTGCCTGTCATGTGCTAGGGTGGAATCGCAATAAATGGGGAATGTGATGGCCAAAATGGATTTAGACTTAACTTTTAAGGAAAATCTACGGTGCCAATGTGTTGGCAATTTGTATAACATTTTTGAAGCCTACATTTTAGCTTTAGAAATCGAGCAGCTGTCTGACTTTTATAAAGATTTGCGAATGTATTGCAACTTTAAAACAAAATATTTGATTAAATAATTTCTGTCATTGGAGCCATTAAGTTATAAAGAGGTAAGGTAAGAAATTCCGAGATATCATCTAAAACAAAAATAAATAAGACTTATTATTTACAAAAGGTTACAAAATTTTTGTTTTCCAAAGGCGTATTTGGAGAAACAAAAAATGTGCATAATAATGATTTTTTGATTAACTTTTATAAAAGGGCAAAGCTAAATTAAAACGAATGCAGTGTTATGGTTTCTTTTGCTCGAAACTATCACGTACCTTTGCTTTAAAAATCTAATTCTTTGGTCTGAAGTTTATGTCAAAGTGCTGTCACGCCCTCCTCGGTTTACGTTTTTACTCCATTTTCCACCTGGCAAACACACACGTCCGTCCTCCACTTCAATTCGAATGGCAAGCCATTATTACTCGTTCTTTGCCATTTAACTGCCAAATTACAGGCACCCACAGTTCAGCCTTCGCTCCCTGAAAACCGCATTCGTATTGCGTGCCCACGAAAATTAACTGAAAACGTGAAGCCCACCCCAACGAAAAATGACGAGTGAGTGAGAAAGCAATGTGAAAAAAAAAACTGGGGTGAAAAACAAACTGAAAATCAAATATTTGCCATATTTTGCAATTGGAAAATCAGCGACAGCACGCAAGGCACCCACTGAATCCTTTTAGAAACAAGGACATACACACGAGTTCCTTCCTACCTCAATCAGGCCGAAAACAAAAATGGCGGAGCTCGTTTGTTTCCGTTTTCGTTGCGTTGAGTTTTGACCTTTTTTTTTTGGCTTTTCTTTCGGTTTTGTTTATGCCATGAAAGATTCGACGAAACGCCAGAGAGTATCCCCAAAAACATCACATTTTTCACCTTTTATAGTTTTGTGGAATATACATTTCTATATGTGAGCCACAGAGGCGGGTTTATTTGTGTTTATGCCAAGTGACCCCAAAGAACTGGTGAGGGAGTGCACAAAAAAAAAATGGCCCAAAGCAACAAATGCATTTGCAATGCAAAACTGGAGCACACACTCACACAGGAAGCGACCCGGCAGCAAGGACACCAGGCGACTGTTGCATCTGTCCACGCCCAACGCCCACCGGCTCCCCTATGTGCTCCTTTCCACCAAACTGGGAGTTAAGAGGGGGAATTATTTATAGCAGGCATGTTTCTATATAGATGATACCCTGTTATTTCTTTAATAGGGAAGCAATGGGGCTTGGGGAATCCGTACAGGAAGCAGAATAATTGATTTCGTTCAAAAATCTTTCATATTGGCTTAACGTCTCTTTAGATCTTATTGATTATTGTAAAAGACCTACTTTAAATATGTATAAATACCGTTCGTTTCCACTACCAAACAAATTTCTCAAAACAAAAACCTGATTTTGATAACTAGTAAATATACCAAACATTATTATCTTTTGAAGTATTTCTTGAATTATTTGTAAGTACATATGTACGTGTTACTGGGTAAGAAATTATACAGACATTTCAATTGTGTAATTTTTTCTTATCGTTTTGCAATGAATGCGCAACTGGCACTCAATAAAACAAAATCTCCCTGCCATGATTCATATACACTATGTGTGCATTAGAACGGATGTCATGGCGGTTTTTCTAGCGGTAAACAAAAGCTTTACAGCCGAGCCGCAGCTGCCGCTCTGCGGTTTTTATTTACGCCAGAACAAAAATCCCACACAGAACCAGATTATTTATGCCGAAACTAAAACCGCACAGTGGAAAACCCAGCAATGTCCGTTCCACATTGCCCACCTGAGTGTTTTCATAGGGCTGGCCAAATATTCACAGATCACGATAGGAATTTCTATATTTGACAACTTTCCTTTTGATCGATTTTTTGTACTTTTGGTATTAAATATGAAAAAAAAGAGTCATATTCATTTTTCTTATAAATGATTTAACCTATTTCCACAAAAGTAAGTATAATGATTTTTCGATATTTTATCAATACCGTGAAATATATAAATATACATACCGTGAAATGAATACATTTTGTATTATAGTCAACTTGAACTATCAACTGTTTTCTGGATAAATCCTTTCTATTTATCTACAAATTTTGAATTTTCGATATTATATCGATTTAAAAATAGTGTTGAAATGATTTTAGCTACATATTATTTTTATTTACATTTTTCAGGGGAGCTCGTCTAGCGCCGCCGCCGCACCGCCAACACCGCGCAGCGCCTTCCCCGGCGCACCGCTCACCGCCTCAGCCGTCGCACTCAAGGGCGCCCTCCCCCAGCGGCCCCCGGCCATGACAAGTCCCGCTGCCGCTGCCGCAGGCGCCGCTTTGGCCGCCGGTGCTCCGTACCGCGGCGCCGCCAGCTGGACCCCGCAGGGCTATGCCCCGGCCGCTGCCGCCGCCGCCGCTGCCGTTGCCCAGCAGGCTGCCTACCGCTATACGGCGCCGCTGCCCCAACCGGCGTACGCCGCCTACACGCCGCACACGGCCACCACACCGGCCACAACCACGGTGAGTACTAGGTTGCACTTCAAAGCCAAATAAAGTATTTAACAAGATAAATGTAGATAGTTTAATTGGCGAAAATACATGTTGTTTGTATTGTACAAAAGAAATTGCAAGAAATTGAGCCCTTCAATAACAGGTCTAAATGCTGTCTGAATTAGAATGTCGTGTCTCTGGAATGAAAATATGAAACTGTTACTAGAACAATAATAAAGAAGAAGTTTTAAAGTATAGTGTTGATAGTATTAAGGTTTTTTGAATTTAAATCAAGAAATGTTTAATTAAACATAAATCATATGCAGCTTTTATCGTCTGTTCGTTAATATTTACTTCTAAGCTTTAATCAAATCCTCATACCAACATTAACCCGCATATTATTTTACTAAACCCATTGTCAAATTGAAAGTCTGCAGGAGCAGCAAATTTTCCCTTACATAAAGCAAGCCAAAAAAAATCTACTTTGATGAATTCTTCGATTCGTGTCTAATGGTGCGCATAATCGAAAATTTATTAATCTATTAACTGGTTACTCCTACTTCTGAGCTTCCATTTCCTTTCAACTTATTGATTGTCAAGTGTAGTTACTCAGTTTGACAAAAGATAGTCGGGGGAAAATTGTGCAAGAGGTATACCATTTATATTTATTGAAAACTGCTGAGGCAGCATTTTATTTATGACACTCACTTTCCATTTAAATTTGTTTTGGCTGAGCCTTTATCTGAGGGTTAATGGTCTTTTTCTGCGATTCTTAGTTTTCTCAGCTGAAAGACAGATCTTTGCAATTCTTATGAAACAAGCTCGTGCCTTTTTCTGCGTTTCTCATACTTTCAAGGTATTGCTAAAGGATCACTATTTGTCATTTTCATCTCCCTGACTTTTCTGCTGGCAATCATTTGTCTGGTCCTCTTTTTGATTTGTTTCCTATGTTGGAGAATGATTGAAACTGAAATCCCAGTCAAGTCTTTGGGCAATCAATTAGCCCGTTTGTGGTTTTTCACACTCGGACATTCATCAAAGTCGATACGACCGCTTCTCCTCAGTCATTTTCAATTTGAAAGTCAGACAACAGCCGCAGTATCAGCAGCATCATTAATAACGAACAATTAAGAATTTCGTGGATAACTGCCGCCTGTGTGCTGGGTGCCATCGACTTAATCAGCATTATCCGACTCCGGACTCATTTTCCAGCTTTTTTCCTCCACCCTGGGGCTCAAAAGTTCACTGCTGTGCAAATATAATCCTGGACCCTACCCTGCCCTGCCCAGGCAGAAAGATTGAATCGAGGGGCTCCATCATGACGAATGATGTTCGCTGGTTTTGACAAATTTACCAACCACCCCGTCACAGCTTGTTATGTGCATAGCATTGCTATCTCTTTGGCGGGGTTTTCAATTTGATTTACAAATGATTTTCAATTCGACGGCAATGCGCTCCTAAAGGAAAATTCGCTGCCTTTCAAGAACATTTTCGTATTCGTTTTATTTTTTTGCCACCCCTTTTGTGGCCCAAAGGCTAAACAACTTCTAATAAATGCGGCGAAAAAGTGCTGAAAATAAACGAGCAAATAAATAACCAGCCAAACAACGAACGCGCCACCCCCTCAGGTAGTTTTTCCTCAGGAGTCGGGAAATTCTTGCATTTTTCTCGGTTTTCGTGGCCTGCGGGCCACTCTCATACCTCTAGCTTTTATTTCTATTTGCTTTGGCTTCGCTCTCTTCGGCTCCCTCCTCCTGTCAGCCAGCCATTCATTCATTCAACGTCGTCAATGGCAGTTAAATAATCCAAAAAGGAAATGTATTTTTTGTGGGCGTCATCGTCGTCGTCGTCGTCTTCTCCTGTTGTCCAGTTCCAGTTCCAGTTCGATGGCCATTAAAGCTGCATGCGAATGTTGCTCATAAATATAAAGTGCGGCTACTTATTTCGTTTTCCTCTTTTTTTTTCCTCACCCCGGCTGTTTCTGTATTTTATGAAAGGTTTTCTTGCCGGGGGGCCATAGATTATCGCTTTTGATTCGAGTGTCGTTAGCCCGACGGCGTCGCTTTCTGTTTTCCCAAACTGTTCTACTCGCTTGATGTTGGAGAAAAAAGGCGGGGAAAATTTCAAGCAAACAAAACTGAAATTTGCTTTAATTATAATTAGTTTTGTTTGGGGTCCACCGTGTCTTGATTACTACTTGAAAAGTTTGAAGGAAGTTAGGAAAGTCTGAGGGTTATGGTCATTTGTTTCATGACTTGTAAAAAAAGTATGACTTGCTGTTCCTAAAAAAATATTTCCTCCCAGTCTAAAAATGTAATACTGAAGTATATCTGTCATAAGTAGCATCCGTAAGCTTTAAATAATCTACCTTATCTAAAATATTCTTCCCAACTACCATTTAATATTTCCCTAAGACGTCTTTTTCTATATACTACAGTTGGAAATACAATTTAACTTAGCTTAAGCCTAGATTTTTGTCGTCATAATGCAGAATCCAATTCCAATTGTCTTCGGGCCTTGTTCAAGTCAGTAGCTATTCAGTGGGAATTCGTTTGGCCTGAGAATACAGAAGATTATTATCATCAACTGAACCAGCACGGCCAAATGTCCTTCGTCCTGTCCATTTCTTGTGCATTGTGTCATAAGTAAAGGATGAAAATAAGGGGGAAAATCCAGTGAAGACATCATTACAATCGCAAGGAGCGCTAGTTTTCTTCATTGCTATTCAATGTTCAGTTACATTTCCGTTCTGAGGACACATCTCCCTTGGTTCCGCTCTCTTGGGCAGCTGGATAGTTTTGCAATAACTATAAACATTAGTTTAATTTTAAACCAGTCCATGTATATTCAGTTGGCTCCTTTGAGATCTGCACACTTGAGAGCGTTTTGCCGCTTTCCTTCCGTTTCTCAACTTGTTGAATTTGAATTGTATTCCGTTGAGCGCAAGGCAAGCAGAAGACAGAAACGCATAAATGTAAATATTATTCTTGTGCATTTTATTCCGTTTTAAATTTTAATTATTTTTAGCTGCCAGCAGCAGTTGCAGCAGACGAGATGGCAGCAGGACACTCCGCAGTGTTCTCTCATGAGAAAATTGAATTTGTGGCGGCGGTTGGGGTGTTCGGTCTGAGCAGTAAGACAGTTGGACGCATCTCAGGGCACTTTAGCTTCAAAAGCAATTATTGTTGAAATATTATTTACATATTCCACAGCCATCCCTCACTCACCCTGCCTTGACTGGCTTTTCCTATCGCCGGCTATGCTCACGCGTCGTATGGGTGTTATGCAAATGTGTCGCAACTAAATGCAACATAATATATCATCAACTCTCGTTTGCCAGCTTTGCATCCCAAACGAGTTATGAAATTTTCAAAAACCGAATTTTGTTCAAGCCGCAGAAAGAGGTAAAAGAGGAATTTGAAGTATAGAATTGAAAGTAGTAGCTTAGAGTTTGCATTTGAATATAAATAGAGTTGATTGTTTTGTCAAATAATAGCTATTCACTTGTAGATAAGATAAATATATATTTTAGATTTAGAAATGTGATCTACAAAATTAACATGCCAACAAAAGTTATTGAGTTAACCTTCAAAGTATAAATCGAAAAGAAATCCCAAGCCAATTGAACGAATTAAATTGGTTTTTGTCCAAATACGATTGAGTATTTAAAAGTTGAAATTAAATCGTCCTTCTTTAAATCTGTAATTTGAAATACAGGCTCAAATTTCTGTTCATTTTAATCCAATACTTTACAATTAACTCCTGAAATTGAGCATTCAAGCATTTTAATCTGTAACAAAAAATCTGTTGCATACGTATATGCGCGAAAAGTAGAAAAATATTATTTATGAACACAATTTTTTTTGCCCATATTTAATGTAAAATTAACATTTCTTTTTGGACACTTTAAATGAAATGTTTATCATACTGTTTGTGCGAGTTTCAGTTGTATTTAATTTCATTCCTTTCGATGCTTTTATTGTTTTTTCTGCTGGATTTCACAATGACCGCACATAAATTCCACAACTGGCGCACATAAATCAACAAACATGCTCAATCAAAATTCCAGCTGGCCAAAGGGAAAAGAGGTTTATAGGGTGATATGCGTGTGTATTTTCACAACGACCACAGAGGGGAACATGGGGGCGTCCACGTACTGATGTAATCAATAAAAACACATTAAACTTTATTTGCCAAAAAGACAAAATACAAACAAAAAAAACAAAAAAAAATAGTAGCAATTAAACCGGAGAGAAGCAGCTGGAAAAGCAACGCAGGTAAGGGTATATCTGGAAAATCAGGAAAAGCGGGTATAGCGAGAGCAACTATCGCTGGCTGCTGGATTAATTAAAAGTGCTGAGCTGGCAAAAGTGCAGAAAGGCAAACAGCGGAGGGAAATGCCGGACATAAAGCGATTAACTCAATAAAGCGTAAGCGTTAAAACAAAAGTGACAAAGTGCACAAGTGCCACACGCCAACAGCCAGCAGCGAGGACAACACCAGCGCCGGGCGAACAATGCAAATAAACAGGCAAAGGCGAGAACAGGACAAAGGACACCGCCCAGATCACGCATACGCCCCGCTGGCCGGCAGAAAAACAAGCGGGACGAAGGCTGAACAGCGCTCGAACGCCACAACAACTGTTCGTCTCCGCCTGGACAGACCTTAACCAAGTGACCAAAAACATTCGGCTTTGACCCCCCCAAATACAATACAAACTAAAAGAAAACGACGAAAAAGAACGAACAAATAAAAGCAAAAAAAAAGCGCTTTTATTATGTGTACTCGTCTTTAAGATATTCACTTCCATTAACTGAATAAATATACTCATTATTCACCACTGAAATTGTTAATTTCAGTTCAGAATTAAGAAATCTTATGCTGCCATTTTTGCTATTTTTTTAAAAACGAAAGTCTTTGGATTAATCTTTTAATCTAAAGATAAAAGGTTTTACAACTTGATTTTTCATATAAGTCTGTGACTGGGCTTGTGTAAATAAAACAGAACTGACAGGACAAAAGCTTTTATA